GGCCCGCCTTTGTGGGCCCCACTTTTGTTTTCATGTTGGCTGGGTCAAAAAGGTTAGGCGCCTGACAATAATACCTGTAAAATTGTTTTGCTCCAGATATAGAATTGTGAGGTGCCTCAAATATCCAAGCTCCGGCGGTATGTTTCCAGTGAACTGGTTGTAGGCCAAGGAGAGCACACGAAGACGAGAGCAATCAAAAATCCCGAATGGGATGTCTCCACTGATCTGATTATTTGAGAGAGATAAAACTTGGATTTGAGGAAGTGTTTGATAGAGGCTGTGATTTGAGGGGAGGTTCCCTGAAAGATTGTTGTTCTCAAGGTAAAGTTCAGAGAGCACAGACATGTTGAATATAGCTCGTGGTATCGAACCAGAAAGCTGATTCCGATTGAGCGTGAGCGACCTGAGACGAGGCATCTGCGCAAGGGACTCGGGGATGGACCCAGTTAGGCTGGTGTTTGTAAGGTCGAGGGATGATACAAAGGAGAGGTTTGCAATTTGTGGAGAAAATCAAGGGAGTATTAACGGTCCAGTTAGTGGATAGTATGTTGTACGGGTCGCTGACATGGGCCTTAAACGCCAGAAGTGCTGAGAGCTCGGTGAAGTTGTTATGCAAAGCCAACGAGGGAGACGGTAGGAGCAGGAGATGCATCGTTGCAAGGGAAAACAGATGATAAAGCTCCATTGAAGCTGACAGAGAGATCGTACGGACCGCAACCGATGGGCGTTTCTTATATCATCAGAAACCTAAGGAGAAGATTGTGTGGGAATGCAAGTGATCAGCACTTCTTATATCATCAGAAACCCAAGGAGAGATTGTTGCTACAGTGTTGCAATTTTTCAACACCTGACACAAGAGAGCAACCTAAACCTGTAATATAATCCTTGACCAAGTATCACAACTGATGACGCGGGACGGTCGTGGGTCGTTGATCAAGGAATTTAATAGATTTATTAGTATCGTTTTCATTTTAGTAATATTTGTGATCAATTTCAATCCCAACACTTGGCCATTCAGCTAGAAAAGGATCTAAAGTATGTAGACTATCTACAGTCCCTTATCCAACCACGTGCCACCCTGATGTGCAATATTTGTTCCTTTAATTAGAGAGTTCCATTCACACAAAAGAACGAAACTCGATAATAGGGCTCACAAGGTTCAACGTCATGAAAAGGATTGGCACCAGAAATCCTCCTTTAACGTCTCCTAGCGATACAAGCAACCTTGACTTGACCAAGAAAGGAGACGGGGGATTCAGTGCCTTATTTGAGATCCCTATTAACTCCGGCATGCATTTGATCTTCCGGCTACTTTTGATCACTGACTCGTAATTATCATGCATTCATTATTCGCGGCTACCCCAAATATCGTAAACTAACAAAAAAACCATCAGTTAACCTGCAGGGTTTCGCAAATGCTTGTCATATGACTCCTATCTAACATCGCTTAGTTTCAGATTTCTACTCTAAGCAATTAGTATATTTTTTTCTTTTTACTCTAAGCAATTAGTATCTTTTTTTCTTGGTTCTTTTTTTTTTGCAAAGACTGTTGCATTTGGTCAGCTGTAGATTGCCCTTAGAGAAATCCTGTTTATATTGTCTATCAATTTATGCAATGTATATGTGTATTTCTGTGAAATAATTCTTTGCTAGTTGAGCACATACTTTTTTCTTTCGTACGTGCTTATGTACTGATATTGTCATATATTGGATTCATTTACTTCTGTTAAGCATTCATTTACTTCTGTTAAGCAGAAAAAGCGAGACTTCACAAAACCAGATGGAAATATGAGTCAAGATGATGAACTGACCTGTAGTGTTTGTCTGGAGCAAGTCACTGCTGGAGAACTACTACGGAGTTTGCCAGGAGTAATAGTTTATAATGGGGGGAAAGAAACTTCTACTCGAATTCTTTGGTATTTTACATTTCAATCGCCTAGTGTTATATGTAAAATGTTGAGTTATCGTGTGAATTCTGATGATTACAGGTATGTGCAGAATAATAAGTTGTCAGGAGTAATACCACAAAGGCTTCATATGAGGGATAGAGACGCTGCCGACGACGACGATGAGATGTGAGGTTTTTTTATTTTTAATGTAATGAACAATTTTTTATTTGTAATAGTACTCTACTTTTATTCATGTCGTGTACTCTATGTTATTCATCTCGTGTTATGGATGGACTTGGTATTGTTAGTGTATATGTTGTAAACATTTAGATAATATAAGTTTTTACTGAAATGGATATTGGAATAGATTGTTGAATGTGTATATTGAACTGGATTGTTGGATATGTATTTTGAATTGGATTGTTGGATATGTTTATTAGATATGAATATTGATTATATTGGATTGGATGTATATATTAAATATACCGGATTCATGTATTTATGTGTATATCGTGAATGTAATGTAATGTGTAGTGAATCAACGGTTTAAAAGATTTTTTTTGGGGAAAAGAGTAACCTAGACGGAAATTCTGTCTAGGTTGCTACAGTAACAATCTACGTTTAAACAGTTACTGTAGTAACCCAGACGGTTACTGTGGCAACCCAGACAAAATTTCCGTCTGCCTTGATGGCTACTGTAGCAACCTAGACGGAATTTCCGTCTAGGTTGCTACCTAGATGGAAATTTTGTCTAGATAGTTACCTAGACGGAATTTACCTAGACGGAATTTCACTCTCCGTCTAGGTTGCTTCGTGTCTAGTATAAGCAAACTAGACGATTTTCCATCTAGTTCGACTCAAACTAGATGGAAATATTCTAGACAGATTTTTCTAGAAGGATTGTCGTCTAGGTTGGTTAACCTTGACGGAATTCGGAGCAACCTAGACGGTTTTTTTCGTCTAGATTGCACGTTTTTCTAGAAATAATTTTCATCACCTAAATTATAGGAATGAATAATTAGTCATCACCATAACAACTCGTGGCAATTATAAACATGACTATTTTAGATTTCAAATGCTGATGTTTCCGCCAAACTGGTTATCAAGTGCTAAATAATAAACTTAGGATGAGTGATGACACTCGAGAACTGTTGTCTTTGTTGTTCCCAAGCATTCTATAAATTTTTATAATGTCATTGAATATGGGCTTATAATGACATCCATTTATGTTTGCATGTATGTACACATGGATCTGATCACATAGGTCCCTGGAGAGAATAACTAAAATGGACAACGTGGATTTCACAATTATCAGAACCCCAATACTGCATTATTCAAGAGGGAAGGAACACAGAAAGGAATTTGGATTTTTTTACTATTAAAAAGTAGCGGAGAGACCATTACTTTTTATGCTAACCATTGATTATTTAGTGAGTGATTGAGATTCATTCTAAATTTAGCACTCATCGTACCTCGATGTATTGCATTCATACTTAATCTGCACTCAAAGGCAAATCATAACCATCAATTAGGAAATCAATGATTTCATGACGTAGTGGTCTCAGGGGACCTATTTAATTGAAAGATGTACATAATCTTTTTTGGGGAAAAGAATCTTTAACTTAGGACTATTACATATCAAAAGGGGAAAAAAAAATCTCCACTTCTACCATTTTGTATGTACTTTTTCAAAATAAAAAAAAAAAAAAAAAAAAAATATCGTGTGTGCTCTCTTCACGCTTAATGTTGTGCCATAGTGCTCTGTAAGTATCATGAGTGAGATATTATTTTGTCTAGGGTACTTAATTACAGATACCCCTGTAGTTATATCGTTGTGGGGAGACCCGCTGAAAAGAGTTCTATTGTTACAGAATGACCCCCGGAAAAGGGTCAGATATAATTTCACTCAGAGGGTCTGTACATTTTTTTACATGATTGTTCATTTATAGCCCTCTGATACTTTAGTTTTGATGCTATTCTTAGAATGATATCGGTCTATATCAAAAAAGAAAAACACAATGGATTCGTCCAGATGCATCACATTAGTTGGAGTGTACCCATCAAGTACTTCTTCACCATATACAACTTCTTCCTCTAGTTGAATGTAATAGAGATTTTTTTTGGCAATCCATGGGTGATGGTTCC